TTTTAAAATTATATATTTTAACACCGTGAGATATGCTACTTATGAACCTGTTAATATACAATCCCACTGCTCAGAGAGGTCTGATGCCTGTCAGGTCCATTACTTGGCTAAGGAAACCTCTGGGCCACAGCTCTAGTAATTGCCATTCACTAGTGGTACGAAAGTACAAGCAGGATGACAACACCCTGTACTTCCTTTCTCCCCACCTCCTTTCAAAGAGAACCTGTGTGTTAACGTTTTGGGAGAGTAATGATTAGAAATTGTTGACATTTGATATTAACATATGAGTCATCAAAACTGAATAATTTACTAAGAAGTACTGGATTCATTTATATAAGTTTATAGATCACAGAAATCATACAGAAAATATTATTTCATTGAAGATCTGGGCATTCTTTGCCTTCAGTCTTTGACAGTGTATTTATTAACACACACAATATATCCACAATATTCCCTTAGCCCAAATTGTATTTTTACCTAAATATCAAATATCTTTACCAATGTTCATACAACTTTCTTTAAAACACTGCCAACCGCATTCTATGTTTTATCTACACTGGGTCAAGAACTGGAAGGGCTTTTCTGTCACCTCAATCTAGTCCTCAGTTTTAACAGAAGTGTTTAAGTGATCTAAAAAGCCATTCATCAGATCTTGGCACAGCCACAGCTCTTCAACACTGCAGATTCCACTACCCTCTTCCCCTCAAAACGGGCTCCCCAGCCAAGATTTCACATGGTTTCAGTTCAGAGGAGACTGTACCATTTCCTTCTTTCTTAAATAAAGCTACTGATAGAGTTACTGCAGTAAAAGTTAAGGTGTCCCTCCACACACAGGACCATTAACTGACCTTCTCTTATCATCTCTATTTTCCAAACCATTAATTCAGTGAAAATCTTATCTACCAGGATAACATCTCCCAACTTTAAAGCTGAGAACATTGAGATTCATCAGCTTCTAACAGTGCTTAAAATTAAGGAAATTACACATTCCTAACTCTTATTAGTTGAAGGCCTCCAGAGCATTTAATTTTTTTTAATTCTCAGGGATAGATGCAGTTCACATTTTCT